ACTAATTTTTTTCTTTCGCTTTCTTCGTCGCTGACGAATGCAATGAATCGCGACGGCTCATGGTCTCTCGGCTCCTCCGGTAACGGTGGAAGCGGAAGAGGCAACGGAAACGACGTTCCCGGTGGATATTATCCTCAGGCGAATCCTATGTTTTCCAATTTCAATCTCCAACAACAACAACAACCTATTAGATACCCTCTTCCTCCTCAGTTTCCAGCGAATTTTTACCGTCCTAACTTCCCTGACTTCTCCTTCGGAAACCCTAATTTCCATACCCAGCAGAATCTCAACTTCCATCATCCACAAATCCCTCACCAATTCGGCTCTGGTGCGAATGTTTTCCTTCAATCCCATGGGCAAAGCTACTCTTTCCCTCCCGATATTGATACCAGTGTCTCTCAGAACCGTGAAGCTTTCGATAGCTCTTCGTTGAAACGAAGACGCCAAGAGGTCATACAGGGGACTGATGTTGTCGTCAAAGAGGCCCCTAAAGCTCTTGGTGAGAGTGATAATTCCTTTAGCGCCCGATTAGTCATTGATGAGAGTGGTGGGTCTCGAGTACATGGAGGGAAAGGATCTTCGGAGAAGTCTTCGTGTAAGCCGAAACAACGCAAAGTAGAAGTCATGCGAATTGATAAAGCTGTTAATAAGACTCGTAAATCAGTTGTTGCTGCTGGTGAGAGTGTTTCTTCGACTAGAGTGTCGAGATCGGTTTTAGAAGAACTTCAGGCTGATTCTTGGCGTTCCTTGGGTGTGCAAATGCAAGATGTTCCTTCCCTTCGTCAACTTATGGCCCTTGAAGGCAAGGTAAGCTTTGAAATCATGCAATGGTTTTTGTGTATCTTTCTCTATTAAGTCATGTCCTTTGAATCTTTAGTAATTATGTGCATTTCTTGATGTCTTGTAGATCAATGCGTTTATTCACTGCTTCGTTGGGGCTAGAAGAATCGTGACCCTGCATGATTTGGAAATGGCAATATGCCGAAACGAGTTTGTTGATTCTTTCGAAGATTTGGAATTGGGGCCTTTGCTGCAGCATCCACTTGTCTTGCTCTATTTTCCATCCATATCCAGCTCTACTGGCCCAGTTAAGATCACTAGTGAGGAGATAATATCGTTTCTTGATAGCTATCTTAACACTTATGATATAGACGATGTTAAGCTCGACGAATTCCTGAATTTTGTTGCTGAGAAAAAATCAGTTACAAACAAGGAAAAGCTTGGTGTGCGTATTCAAAGCTTGCGGTATGATATATATATATTTTTGGAGTATCTAAACTTTCTTATGAGTTATTTATTTTGATAGTATGGTAAGGATGGTTTAAAATGTTTTCTTTATTCACAAATCCAGCAATTTATATGAAACGTCTATGCCTTAAATCTGTTAATTTTTGTATGCAGAAATTGAAATTTGGGTACTTGGCTTTTTATTTGCTTCCCTTCAAATGTTGAATGTCTAGTAATAGATTGAGGGCTGGAACATCAATGTGTGCTTTGGTTTGATACGTAGATGTACAGTTTTTGAAACTTGTTGACTAGTTGTTTGAGTGGAGTTCGGTTGTGCGCATATAAGTCTACCTCCCTTTTCCTATTTTTGTGTGTAAAATCTATAGGCCTCATTCCATTTTTTTAGTTTCTACATTTGTTACCGCAGGAGATGTTTTCTCAGAATTTTATTGTTTAATCCGGTGCATATGTTCTCAACTTATTCCTACTATAAACTGCATTAGCTGATTATGTGATTAATGCATTTTTATAGGATGTATGTATCTTTCATTCAAGATGCAAAGAGACAAGAAGGTCAAACATTGAAAATCTTACTGACTGATCTGCATCAAAAGTATCAGATCCTCTCATCAAAGAAACCACGGCAAGATAAATCCCTTACTGTCTCTGAGCGTGCTGACTCATTTGCTTTACATCATAAGGATTATTGTGGCAAGCATACAAGATTTTATTCATCAAGTTCAGATGACAATGATAGTGTTGATGATGAGCTTGAAAATCGTAATAACTCTGACCACATCAGTAGTTGTCCATATCCCTCTGTTGCAGAAGAGATGAAGCGGATTGGGGGTTCCAATAAAAAAAGGAAGGCTAAAAATAGTAATCATGAAAAATCTGATTCGTCCAAACTGCTTAAGAAAGGCTGCTCTAAATTACGTAGAGGACATGAGAAACAAGAGCTACCTAAACCGGCTGATGATTCTAATGCTAAGCAGGTTTTCAGTGTCGATGAGGCTGATTTCACACTTACTGAAGGAGCATTGAGATTGTTCATTTCAACTTGGAAGGACACATGTAAAGAGCTAAGCATTTCAACGGTGGGTATATCGAGATTTGTATGACTGTTTGAATTATATAAAAGATAAATCTGTTTGCTTGAATCCGAGAGTGAATTATCTTAAGTGAGGGAGTGGTGAAGTTGCA